TGTACACGCGTATTTAAAGAAAAAAGTGCTACCGAGCCATGTTATACTCACGAAATTACTTTAATGTAGTTCACCACTCAAAGTTGCTCTCAACTAACTAATTTATTAGAAGTAAACTATCTATTTTTAAATATTAACAAATAATAATTCTTAAAAATATTATGAGTTAATATACAAAAATTTAACTTTAATAAAATAAAATAAAAACTTTCAATAATCCTCAAACTTTATTCGTTTATCCGAAACAATAAAATAAAAATTTTTAGTTATATTTACAAAAACAAATAATATATTTTTGACGTAGCAAGAATTTAAAGTTGAACATCTTTATTGTGGTGCAGAGATTTTTTTATGCAACCATTTGAGATTTAGAGGTTTGAATCCTGACTTCGACCTTTTTTTTTTCTTAGTTTTTTTCACCGCTGCAGCTGATCGGTATGTAGTGTAGTACGACTACCATATTATCGGAACACTATAAAAATCAAACGGTGCCCAGAAATTTTTTCTCGACCTGATACAAGACTATAGGAAATAAAAAATAAAAAAATGTTTTTTTATGAGAACGGCACGCCAAAACCTTTACTAACCTTGTACATTATGACAACTCGTGAGTTTTTCAAATTTCAATGTTTCAGTAAAAAAAATTTTTTTAATTGCATGAACCTTCATGTTCTAATATTACATTAAAAAATCCGACTACTCCACTGTGCATTAAATTTGAATAATAATCTCATGGCAAGAGTATAGTTTCTTTGATTCCGGTTTTTAGGTATATGTTTTAAATAGAAATGGTGTTTGAGACATGAAAGCTACCCTGTTTCTTGTATTAGGTACAGCCCATTAGTTATACGTATATACGTGTAGCGGGCAATGCCCCAAAGATCATATATATACATGATCACATATGTATACGTATATAAAGAACCCAGAAGATTTTAGAACCGCTTTAGTCTAGTTTGAGCTGACTTGCCTGTTTGTTGGGCAAAGTCGGAGGTAACAGTGGTAGCGTACACGCAGGCGCTAAAGCATGTTACGGATGCCATGTGAGACTATATTAATTATTTTTTAAAAACCATATTATTTTAAATATTCCAACTACTTGAAAAAATACACACATACAATTATTTTACATCAAAATTTTTTTCGTGGTCATATACATTGATGTGTCTTTTTGTCGCAACAAAAAAAAGGAGTTAATTTTTGTAAAAACAACATTTAAAAGTGAAAAATCTTTTTAACAAAATTAGGCTTGATTAGCGTGGTCAAACTTAGTCTTAATATTATATAATAGGGTATGTTTTTTTATGTTTTTATATTTTATGGCTAAGTTATGAACAAATATTGATGCCACAGTTTTTCAAGCGATCACCCTAAGGTAGTTCAATACTAGGATCGCACGATATTTTATTGTTTATAACCAATTTAGTCAACATTTTAATATTATCGTTGCCGTTGTAAACTTCAAAGCAACTAAAGGATTTTATTGTGAAGGTGCTTAAGTAAAGTGAATTAATGTAACCAGACTTTAAAAAAAAAAAAAAAATTATTTTCCATGAATAAGGCTTCGATGGTTATGTATGTATTGTGTACACACTTTGGGTGAGGCTCGCGCGCGAACACCCGCTCGACTGAACGTGTGTCGCTCTTCTGCTGCGAGAGCACGCCGGCGAGAGAGAGAGCGACCTCGGCGGAGATTTGAGGAACTGTTTGTATATTTCGGAGTCGCACGCGATATACGTCTTCTGCTACAAGATGTGTGTATTATACGTGCGTCACGTGACGAAAATGCAGACTAATACAGTTTTTTATATATATTTATACACTGGTTCGCATCTTTTACTTCAACTTTCAATGATACGGTAGAATAAAACACGTGCATTACAGTATGACGTTTCTACAGATTTTTTTTCAAACTAATTCATGTTTTGTATGTATAATATACGATTAATACATGTAATACATATTATTAGACGCATGCGTGCGCTTTAAGGGTGTAATTTTACGTCAAGTCTATAAAGTTAAGATACACGTTTTTTCATACAAACACGTTGCGTTTCATTTTCTAATATACGAATGTTAGTTTCACTGTTCTTATCGCTACTTTAAATCGTGTAAATATAGAATTATTATTAATGCAAAGTTTATTGGTGGATTATATTGATTGAGTATAACGTTTTAAATTAAGAAATGAAAAAGTGTTCTTTAACTCATAGTATATCTCACTGTACCTATATTTAAATGAAACAGACATATATTTCAGTATACCGGATTGACGGGAGAAGGGACATTTAATTATGATGAACTGGTGTTGTCTTTTTGGTAAATTCTTTATCGTATGGAACCAAATTTTGGAATAAATTGGTGTAGTACGAAATGTCCAGATTAAAAAAAAAAAAAAATTGGAAAATACCTCTCTGCTCTTGAATAAAAAATAGTTTACTGCACTATACTTTTTTTATTTTCCACACGATGTAATGAACAACGTTTAAGGGGTATTTTATATTGTTATTTTTAAACGTATTTAATTTCACTGAATGCATAAAGCGATTATTTGCTTGAAATGACCCAGTGCTTTTATTCATACAAATGTTTATTTTAATTACGATTTGCATATTTTGTGTAAATATTGGTAGAATTGTGTTGCTTCGAGTTTATAATATGACGATTCTATGACAAATAGCCGGATATGATATTGNGAAATTTTTATCATTTTTCTTTGAAACCTGGAGTTGTTGACTTAAAAATGAGTACAGTTTGTGAAAATAAACCTATTTTTTCAAGTTTTCGAACTTTGAGATTTTTTTACACAGAAACTAAAGAAAAATTTGGGCCAAAATAGTTTGAAAAAAGCTTATTGAAGAAAAAAAAATTTTTTTTTATCGGAACTGATATTTTATCTTCGAAGCTCTCGAATATAATGACTCATTCGTGAAAATGGCACTTATGGCTGTACTCTTTAAAAGAAAATAATTTACTTAGGCAAAACTTTAATTCTTAAACAAGATAATTGTTAAATATAAAAGTATAATTTGTATCAATGAATTGTCGAACTTTTGGTATTCAAATCAATTATTTCGTTATCTTATTTAAGTTCTGAACTTATGAGTCCAACGATATTCAATGTTTATGATTAATACGCAAAGCACTTGAACAATTATATTAAAGTCTATGCAAATCATGGGATAAAAAGTAAACAGCTTGCGGTGATGTATTTATTTTCATTTTATTATGCCAAGGGATTGTTAAATTCACTTTTTTAATGTTTGCTTGATTAAGATCAGAGAATAACTCATAAAAATAAAAAAAATCAGTTTTTTGATAAGTATTTTGGTTTTTGAGTTTGGATTCGATAAAATATTGCTGCACTACAGTTTTGTCTTAAAGCTATATAGTTGCCAAAAATTTTTAAAAATGATAGAAACTTTGTTTCCCCTTTCCAATCTGAATGAATTATCTCAGAATAACTAGTAAGTAAAATAAAAACCAATAGTAATAAATAATAAAGTTCAAATTTGAGACTAAGAATAAAATTTAGAAATTTTCATCCATTAGTAATTATTTTTTATTTTTTTATATTTTTGTCATAGATGTCATCTTGGAAAGTAAAAGAAATAATAACTGTGATGAACTATAATTAATTAAAACCTATCGCTGATGATACTTATTATTTGCTATCAATTTACATAAAATTTTGAGCGCCTGATTAAAATTGCTATGAAGTATGACTAATTGTTCATGAAAATAATTGATTTTCGTTATTTAATGACGGAATAAAATCATGTTCTTTTCAATTCAATTCCATTTTAAAAGATTGATGGGTTAAAACAGATCGAGAGTATTGTTAAGTTTGACATTAATCAATAACTAACCATTCACACGACGACATGACATTCAAACTGAAAATTAGCTTTAAAAAAACATTTGTGTTATTAGTAGTAACGTAAATGTTTTAAGAGTAAGATTAAGAGTGAATGTGTATACATTTAGGAAGACAAAAAAAATTAACGAAATTCTGTGCTCCTTTTGTAGTGTGGTATGCTTATTGAATAATATAAAAGTAAGTAAAACAGTACTCATAATATGTCAAACAACTGGTTTAGTTAAAAAAGAAATGTTATGTGTCTCTCACCCACCGGAAAAATACACTCACGAATCTTCTGAAAAAAGTGAAGCGTCACTGTTGTAAAACGCGATTTGATTGGTCGTCGATGCTTGATCTCATTGGTAAGTATATATACGTCTTGCCTTGCCACATATAGGTATACTAGCGTTCTATTATCGTGGTTACCGGTTGGACAATGCTGACAGTAACTGCATCTCCGACCGCGTGGCGGCATGTGGTACACTGTTGGCACCGTTTTCGACGTAATTCATGAATTTCATCGTTTGTAAAATACCGAACGAAAAGAAAAGTTGATGCAAAAATAGGAATCACTTTTTTGCACGAGTTGCATCCATTTTTCCAACCCTCCCGACGAGTCCTTGACCCGATCGCCGCTTTTCCGGTTCGCTCCCGCATGTGGCGAAAAAAGTGTCTGGTTAGTATATATAGAGTCAGCTTGCATTAATTTTCAGAAATGTGTGCACTGGCTTGTCCACTCCCGTGTACGGATCGGTTTGAATGGTTTCCTAAGTTGTAAAACGTGTAGTAGCCCACCGATCGTACCTCACAGGTAAGTAAGGGTAAGTTGAACGAGGATGACTTGCTGGTGTATCATATTTTTTGTTTTTGTTCTTACAATTCTATGGTAAAATCCAATGGACTGCCTTGTTATTGCATTTTTTTTTTTTATTCCTCTCTTCTCATAATTGGGTAAAAATTCACTCAATAATAAATGTACTATCATTTTTGTCATAAGTTCTATGTGTTGACAAACAAATTTAATTATTTATTTTTTTCAACACATTTTTAAGCATTTAAAATGTATTATTTTATTATTTACGTTCTATTCTTTTCAAATGTTTCCGTCTTTTTTTCGCAAAATAAAATTCCAACAAAATTTTCCATTACTTTTCTCGTAGCTTCCCGAGTCTCCCTTATCCCTTACTATCATTAAATGAAAGACCCACTGCTACCCCCCGCTCTATATTCAGAACCCCTGCAGCAGCTTCAACACCCCCTAACCGTGCTAACGTTATCTTCGAATCATTGCATGAGCTTTTTTTGATTTCATTGTGTTCACTTGAAAATAACTTTTTCTTCATATTGTGTAAAAAAAAAAAAAAAACAGAAACAGTGATTAAAATACGTGAAGGGATTTAACTGCTTAACCAAGTGGATAATTGTTTTTTTGTACTAAAATTACAAAAATAGTACAGTTTTTTTTATTAGAAAAGTAAAAAAATAACAAATTTTTTCGCAATAACTTCTTAGGTATTTACAGGCTGTGGTTTATCACATTTGTGTCAAAAAATGAGAATCATTGAGTTGTGCAAATAAAAAAAAAAACACGTACAATAAATAACATACTAGTATGACACTAGACGTTAGAAACAATAAATTAATGAGGACATTTTTTAAAAAGTCGTAAACAATACATTTTTACAACAAAATATCGTAACTTAAATTTGAGAGGAATATTTTCAAATGCGTCGTTTCTTGGGACGACTTTCACCACTATCTTCTTCCTCTACTTCCTCTTCTTCTTCGTCCTCTTCTTGTTCTTCTCCACCACTGTTTTCTCTGTTATGTGCCGTCTGCGTTATTACCTACAACAAATTAATAAACGTGAATGACAAATAACTTGTGGTGACGTTTTGGTTTCGTATTAATTTATGAGCAATGGTACTAACTAGACTGACATTCATTTCTTCTAAATTTCTCATAAGCTGACTGCTTGCGATTCTGAAGTCACGTACAGCATTGAATTTCGTGAATTTCGTTAAATCCACCTTCAAATAAAATTTGTGTGACAAAATTAAGAATGATAACAAGCACAACAAAAAACAACGAATCACTTTACTTACATTAGTCTTCTTTGACAGCAAAACTATTTCCTTGTCAAACATATCCATGGCTTGCATGACTCCAGGTACGAATGCCATTTCCTTTAGAATTTTGTTTCGCTGGACTTGTGCATCACTAGATTTTCCACATTTTTGTACTGACTAGAATAACATGCAATAATGTAGCAATAACCTTAGTAAATATATTTCTTTTTGTCTTACCTCAACATAAGTTATCAAGTTTGATGTCGCCTCTTTTAAGGCACTACTAGCTCCTTGGACCACGCTAGCAAACCTGTGTAGAGAGAAATGATTGTTTTAAACCTTAAAATGCAAAAGATTGAGAAATTGATGCTTCATACTTGACAGATTGGAAGGCTGGATTATTAGCTGTTGACTTTTTCCGGAAATATTTGGCTAAAGAAGAGGCCAGATTGTAAACGCTTTTCAAGTTTTTGAAAACAGCATCGGTAGCTGGGCCCGGGTCGAGTTTTGCGTTAACCAGAATTTCAAATGCATTCAGTACCATTGTAAACTGACGACACAAATTCCGCTCTTTCTCTTTCAGCCTCGTTTGATCTATACCATTACATCATGTTGCTCAAATTTCAATTGATTTATGATTATTGCATAGTTTTATTTACCTGATTCACTGTTTATTGCAAAACTAATCGATGCTGTGTATTCCGCATTCAATCTTCCAAGTAAAAAGGTGAGATTTTGCAACTTTGATGCGAGCAATTTATTTGTGGCAATATAAGCTACGATGACGCTGTCTTCGTTTATCATATTGTAAGTTCGCGTTGCAGTAACTTCAGTCTAAAATGAAAATAAGAGGTGATAATTTTAAAAGTCGTAAGTGTTGAATAAACATTGATGATGCGAGTAATCACCTTGTCGTTTCTGCCCAACACACAGACAAATTCGGAACAAAAATCATGGAGTACTTCGGATTCCTCTACGCTTCGCTCTTGGATCAAGAGGATCAACTGCAGGACGATGGAAGCTATCTGCATATCGAGGTTTTCTTTGGTTTTGGCTATTTCGAGAAGCCAGTCAAACAGCTAAAAATAAAACAGTAGAAATAATCATTTTGCATCATTCAATTTTGACGATGACAAAACTTTGTTATACTTCGTCGTCCTTTAAATCACTGAACGTAATTTTCTTAACGAATTTGGAGATTATCTCGATCAAGAGAACAGACATTTTTACAAATTTCAACTCTTCCGTTTCTTCCATTTCTAGTGTCTTTAGGAAAACATCTTTGAGCGACGTAATGATACTTTTCAACTGTAGAGTAAGTCCTTGAGATTCTTTCACGCCACCTGAGTGCCATTCAATTATTTGTAGTACATAATATGAACGAAATTACGGTTTACTTTGTGCAATGAAAAAAACTTACACAAAGACTCGAGGAAAAGCGGCAGTTTCTTAGAATAGACTGTGCACATGATGTCGCAGCACTCCTTGAAGCACTCAAATCCCAACTCCATGGCACTTACGTTCAAAGCTGTGGTTTCCTCGAAATTTGGTAATAGGAACTTGAACAGGGTCCTGTTAACAGAAAGCGTTTGGTGAAAATTTAATATCTCTTGTAATGGAAAAAAGTGCGAGACCTACTGTCCGATGGTGAACAAATTTTTTTTGTTAATCTCCAAGTAGCCGGTCAATTCGTGATCGTTCATAACTTTGATGCTTTGGAGCAGTTGTAAGCAGGTATGATAGATGTACTCGTAGAACTCGTACCGGCCTCTGATCACGTTCGATTGCTCTTCTGTCGCGTGAGCGCCGGCAGGACTGGAAAAAAAAGACATCGTGAAATAAATCACTGGAAAAACAGATAAACGCAAAGCAATGGGTGCATGAACCAACTTGAGCAACAAAACGATACTCTTGGTGATCGTTTCGAGATCCATGACTGTGTTGAGCGGCTTGAAGCCCACTGGTCCTCTTTTTTTCACTAGGCCGGCCATCGTCGTGTCATTCTTGTCCTTGTCCTTTTTGCCCTTGCCCTTCTTCGATTTCCCAATTTTTCGCGCAAACTCCAAAAGCCTGGAGTACGCTTTGAACAGGCCCAGCACGTTGTAACCCACTTCGGAGTCACTCTCCGACGACCACGACCCGATGCGAAAAGCTAGAAGCGCCTCGTACATCGAGAGGGCTTGTTTAACGTTGAGCAGCTTCAGCTGGGATTTCGGCATTCCATCCAGCAGGTCAACATCGTCATCCTGGAATATAGAAATAAAAATTGCCCGATCCCACGAATCACTGGAAAAATCCCAACTTGATTGACTTACGATGCCCAGGTGTTCCACGTCAGTTCGAGCCATGCGTTTGCACAGCGACTCGAGCAAGTGGGCAAGCTTGTCGACGTGTACCGATTCTTTCAAAGCCACTTTGAGGTAAATCTTTTGCAGAGCAAACACCAAATCCGCCGCAGTCTCCTCGAGCACGACTTCGATGTTTTGGCTGTTGCAGCACTTCTCGAACACAACTGGCGGCAGGATCTCCTCGTCCTTTTCGTAATACTTTGAGAAGTGCTCGAGCAGCATCTCGATTACGTACTCGGTCAGCTCCTCGTTTTTGACGATGCCAAAGTAGAGCTCTGCAAGCCGCACACATACATATACATAGTAGAATAACCACCAGTAGTTTTGATTGTAAGAAATACGTACCTCGATACAGGTGAGATCGGACTTCGATTTCGTGCGTAAAACACTTGCTGAGGATGGACAGGATTTCGCGGCACAATGTCGTGTTGTGCCACGGATTCGAGGAAGCTCTGCGCGATCCCTCGCAAGACGCCTAGTTGATAAAACCGACGGATGAAAAAAAGAAACAACGATTGGATGCAATTTTAAAAAGTACTGTGGACTCACCTGAGTGAAAATCGACGCCGACGAGGCAATGTTGGAGGAGGACAGCGATTGCGACTGGCTGAGCAGCGTCAGGGACTGCAGCTTGAGATTCTTGAGCAGCTGGAGGAAGCCGAGCACGGCCATGCGTCTCGTTTCCGTACCCTTGCGGTACAGTGCTTTTCGCAATATCATGATCAAACTGTCGCGAATGGTGCCGGATATGCGCATCAACGGCAAAATGGCTCGCAAGACCTGCGCTGCGGCCAAGCCCGGGATCACGAGGAGCTGCTCCATCAAGGAATTTATCCACACGCGGTGCTCTATCACAGTCATCGTGAGATTGCGGCACATGTATCCGAGACAGTCTGCAAATTACACGAAGCGACGATTAATCATGAATTTCAAGCACAAGTGTTTGTGATCGCCTACCTGTGTATTGGACGACGTTCGTGCCAGCACAAACGATCTTATCGACGAGGGTTTGAAGAATCGTGCCGCCCGCGTCACCCCTCCTTTTCGCTATTTTTTGGAGTATCTTGCATCCGTACTCCCATGGCGGATGTTCCTCTGCACCGGCTTTACGCTCGATGCTCAACAGCACAAATGCAAAGTCCACCATACCTTTGAGTATTAGCGGTCTATCTCTATTGCTGTTGGAAAATAATATGCAAGGTAACTTGGTCATTGCTCCCGTACCATCATTCGTGTGATGGGAAAATTTGGTGGATACCTGTTTTCGATAACATGGTCGATGGTGTCCATGATTTTTTTGTCATTTGACGATATTTGTCGTAACCAAGCACAGTTGCCCTGGTTTTCCTTCTCCTGGACTTGTCGTGCGAATGCAGCTTTCAAGATTTGGAGAGCTTGATCCTCGTACAGGTTCGAAAGGAGCAGTAGCACTGACATCACAAAAGACTCCAATATGTACTCAGGCGCATTGACAATGGACTTGAGACACTGCATGTACTCGGTAGATCCCTTGGTGTTGTCGACGGCTGAATCGTAAATGTAGTACAGCACATTGCTTTCACACTCCTGTAGTTCTTTCAATGGTACTTTTCCGGATACTGCGAGAATAAATTCAAAATAAAATCAACGTGATTTTGTAAATTTACCAATAAAACAACATACTTATCGATTCCGAGTCTTCTTGGTCGTTTGTCTCATCGGCAACAGAATTGTAATTTTGGGAAAAGTATTTACCCAACGAGGCAAACAACAAAGTACTGTTGTTTTCAGAGGCTAGTTTGAGCAATTGATTGGCCAAGTGAGGCAGTTCATCAGGTTCCACCAACATCAGTTTACTCGTGAAAGCTTTCATGATTGCCTCGCTTATTTTTTTGTCCACCTTGTCCCTTATATCTGTTGAAATTTCCCTGTAAAATGAAAAATCCAATCATCATATCTGCTCTATATGCGTAACAAATAATACACTACAGAGTTGACACTCACACAAACATCTTGGCCAGAGGAGTCAAGATTTTTATATCCCAGTCAAGTTCATAGATAATGCGAATGATGATAGCTTTGTACTCTTTCCCCGTGACGTTTGTGCCTCTGTGATCCATAGACTTTTCCTCCTCGAGCCTCTCCAAAAGCAAAGGTATCACATCCTTCCAACTATAAAAAAAAAACACGCTCAAAAAACGTTGGTAAAATCACTTGCAGCAGAGATCGAATTCCACAGGCTCAAGTACCTCATGAAATCATCATCATTATTGCGAATCCTAGCAACAAAATAGTCAACCAGTTTAACCAGGTGCATCCTCTCGTACACAGGAAAGTCGACGACAATTCTGTTGACAATGGTCTCGGCTTGCTTAATGGTGACCCGAGCCTTGCCAAGTGCCTCAAAGACCCTGCTGACAATCTTGAACCTCTTGTCGTTGCTCCTCCTGCCGCTCTGCTCGGCAAAGCCCAGCATCAGTTTGTCCAGCATCTTTGGTGCCTCATTGGTGTGCAGCACAGAAATCACCATCTGACAGAGCTATACGACACGACAAGCACACTTGTATTTCCTGTACACAACGTAGGTACTCTCTTTCTTTCCACGCACTTACCTCGTTCGTGTCGGCTTCCTGGACAAAGCTTTTCAGCTGCGACGTCGTACACTTGCCGCTCAACTGGCTCTTGTACTTTTCGTACAACTCGCTCATTTTGTTTTTTGATCTTTGCGGGGTTTTCTGTTTTCTTCGATGAAAAACAAAAACAGCTTTTGCTGCAGTAAGTACAGAGCTGTCAAAAAATGGTTAAACTCACATACACACCTCTCTCCTACCACCAACAGTTTACACTAGATTGCACGTGGATCATCGTCAAACACCAACTTGCAACTGTAAATAATCCTTCTGATGGTATACTTTTAATAAAAGATAACACGAAAAGCAACAATTATTAACGAACTGTTTGAACGTCCACCCCCTATATACTCGCACGTGTCTGAACCAGCAAACACAAAAAAATGTAAACACACAGAGAGAGGAGGTGAATTTGGCGCAGGCGCACTGCTTTCCAATCAAAATCGCTCGCGCGGGAAAAACGCCAAGGGGCGGGGGGGGGGGGAGCAGCGCGAGAAAACAGTTTATTGTTTACGAAAAGTTTTCCGAAACAAAGGAGGTCGTGCCCCCCCCCCCCCGCCGAACAATTGTCTCGTAAACAATATAGGTGAATACAAGTGTATGGTTTTAACGCTCAAGTTGTTTGAAATTTCTACACTCGCCGATGGAGAAGCAGTGTATACACATACCTAGAGAGAGGATGGCTCTGTGAGCGCGCGAGTGTAAATTACAAAATTATACATATATCCTGCAACAGTGCAAGTGTATATACCTGCAGAAAAAAAAAAAAAAAGAAAGAAAAACATAAGGGTGTGAAAAAATGTTCAAGCCGCCGGAGGCCGATCTCATCGACTTCACCACCAACTTGCAGCACACTCCCCAAGTGCGGGCTCGAGGAGACGACGATTTCGCCACGTGCAGCGTCCCCGGCAGTGGCGCGCTCGCCAAGAGGAGGCTGAGCTTTGCCCCTGAACTGGTCGAGGAGGACAGGCTGGATGATCCCTTTGAGGCGAATTTCGTGGTTGAATACAACGAACATCGGACGCACGAAGAGCACGAGGATCCTTACGAGCAGGTGCTTCGAATGGCCCGCTGTGGCAACGACGCTCATCTGCAGGGCGATCGCCTCGCTGGTTCTGAAGGTGAGAGGATTTTGTGTACTTCTTTCGTATGGATTTTTACCACATTCGTGGAGGCGATGGGGGGAGAGCTTTGCACGCTTTTTACTGTCGTTTTTGCAAAGACAACACACGCCTAAAGCCGTTACGAAATGCAACAAAAGTTTGATGTTTAAGAACATACGTGTATTATAAGCATATGATTTTGGTAAAGTTAGAATTGATCAATTGAATGGAGGTTTCAAACAAAAACAAAAACAAAAATACTACTCTTCGGTTCCTGAGGCAAAAGTGAGGGACCAGTACACCGGTTTGGTGCACAGTACTCGAACTCTGGTTACCGTGTTTCCCCGGTGACAAGACATGACTTCTGTTTTCTATGTTGTTTTTCACTTCGTACACTGCAGGTATCGAATATATAAGACATATTTTTTACATGCCTTCTGTTTTCGAACATCAAGTTTAGCGACGAATAAAAAATTGGGATAAAATTTTGACGTGCAATCGATGTATTGACTACAAAAAAAAAAAAAAAAAAAAAAAATATAAAATAAAAAATACGCAATGCATTTTCAAATCAATCAGTGATCCCTGACTAGTTATTTGTAGGATAATTTGAGGTCCCAGCCGCTCATGCTTTGCAATGTACGTCTGATCGGACGTAACGTAGTTTATGTACATAGGTAAAGCTGGATATAAAAGTGATCCGTGGGTTGCGTTCCACGAATTTTCCACCCAATGTGCGACTTTTCGGATATTGGGTTTACTTAACGAAATTCTTTTGTTTACATCACAACATAATGAGCCGATGTATTGGATTTACCTCTTATATTATATGCCTTCTATTTCAGGGCATGTCTTGTATATGAAACAGCTACCCTGAAAATTTGGGGACTCGCGCCTTACTGTCGGGGAAACAACACGGTATCTCGAGTCCAGTTATTGGTGTGGATCATTAATTAACCGTGTCTTACTCGCGTGAATATCAACGAATACGGTCATTATTTTGAATCGTGTATTATAATAATAGTATTATTTTTATAAAAGTACGCAAGTGTATGTTTCATGGTTACAAACAAATTTTTAATGTTGTAACTGTATTTAAATTAACTGTTTTTAAAATATGGCCAGTAAAAAGTAGAAAGAATAATACATATGGAAATTTTTCCTTTCAAATTAAATTCTTAATTGTCACAATAATCATCAATGCACTTGAAAATTATTAAACCACGTCGAGGAGAGTTGGACTACCGTTTACTGGATTTTTACAGGCAAAAAAAATTTCAAAGAAGTTCCACGGTTTTTTTAGTTTTTTTTTTTTTTTTTTTTTTTTTTTTTTTTGTCACAGGTGAACTGGAACAGTCGTAAAGAAGCAGCTGCGGGAAAAGAAAACCGCGTTGGATGAACATTAATTGTCTTTTGTAAATTTTAACTGTGTGCAATTTTAACATATGATTTTTACTTTGTAGCGTTCGAGAACTGTATATTTAAAAGCGAATAAACTTACAATTTTGTTGCATGGCTGCTCGGTTTTGTAAATTTGTATTAAAAACATCCCAATAGTCTTTCATACAAAGTGAAAAATCACACCGACCTGACAACTGTTCAGAATCGAAACAGGTCCCAAGCTCGAGTCGATTCCTTTAGTACCAACTCCTTGGCATCCATTCCTCTGCCCAATCCTCTTTATTATTAGGAAAAAAAACTCTCGAGATTCACCACCGGACATGTACGTACTTGTAGGCGCGAAGCGTCTTTCTGTCTTGATTGGAAAACAGAAAATCTCTGCAACACCTGGGATTAATGATTACTTCGATGAAAGTGATAAACTGCAGAGATTTGGAGCTTAGGAGCTCTCAGATAAAACGGTTGGATTGAAAAATCCGATTGATTTGCGGACGCGGAGGAGGATTGGTAAGAAGTACTCAAATTTTCTTCGTTTTTTAATTTATTTATTGTATATCGTATGCATTTGTATTTGTTATTTGACAGTTTTGAAAAATATTGATTCTCGAATATTTAGGACCACAAGTGTTACGTACTTGAGTAAGGCAAATAATAATATACAAGTTGGATGGCGTTTGAAAAATATGAGCAGCATTATCGTAGAAAAGTTTTTTTTTTTCATCTCTAAGATAGTTAGCTTTGCAGATGGTTGAATCACCTCGTGGAAAAAAACACTTTTACAGGCTGTGAAATAAGATATCAACGTGTGATAGCTTATCTGACGGTAAGAAAGACAGCAATGTATGCTATCAGACATATGGAAAGATTTTAAACAGTATTTTTTAAATCTTATTTTTGAATTAAAAAGAAAAAAAATTGTATTTTAACTTGTGAAAATAACCCTCGTAGAGCTATGCGAGATGCTAAGAGTATCTTGATGTTAATTCTTCCTTGTCTTATCTTAAGTCGAGACTGTAATCTATGTGGTTTGAAGTTTCAAAACAATACCAAAAAATAGTCCTCAAGAACATTGATTTTATCAAAATTCTTGTGTAATATTAAGTGGCAGTCTAATAATTTTAACAAGATTTTCAAATTTACAGATGTTAAGCAAATAAGTTTACAAGTTTTACTGGAAACCTTAGAAAAGTGCTCATAAGTGAAATTTTTAGATATCATAAATAAATTCTCAAAAAAGTTAGAGATAAATGTCTTATTGGGTGAAAAAAATTTTTTATCAATGATTAATTTTACAATAAATGTGAATAAATATTTACATGACCCCCTTACCGTTTAAAACTCATTTTTCTAGTAATGAGAAGTTTCAGAATTATTACATAAAGTGAAGAAAAAATTTACAGCCATCACCTGCTGTTTGTTTAATTTTTCTAAAAAAAATGTAAATGACCTGTCTTTCGTATCTTCGTTTATTCTGATGCTTACTTAGAAATTTGTAGATGCTTATAATTTTTATTGCCTCATCCAAAATAATAGAATCAAACCTTCTTGTTTCCATCACGGATCTAAAATGAAAAAAAAAATGTATGATCGATACTGTTTAAATAATTTGCCACAATTGGCTTGAAAAGCTGTAATATTTTTTTAAATATTTGTTCTTCCTGTTTTTCTATCCAAATCAAATGTTATACTTTTGATTTTGATGCTATTACTACGTCGAAAAAACGGTCTTCCGATGAAAGTTACTATAATTGTTTGGTATATATTTAAGAAAATTACAATATGCATAAGTTCTCTAGTATGTAATTTTATTCAGATGTTTTTGTCTGCTTTGAAGTTCCATGGGCTAATAGAAAATGTAAGTAAACTAACAACTTCGCAAAATATAGTGAAGAAAGTTTCACACGGCTTTGTCTACGCTACAGCCTCCGTAACAAAAACAAACGCAGTTACCAATATAAAAAAATAACAACTGACATCTATTGTAAATATGTACTAATAGCGTATAATGTATGTAAACGATAAATATGTTCTAGTATAAAATCTGGAATTTATTGGACCTTGTTGTTATAGTTATCGTTCGTTACCTTTTTTAAACGAGATACTTTGGCTCGGGTAAAAACGGACATTTTTCACGTTTTATTTTGAAAGCATTGAGACATAAGCTTCATTGGTTGCAGGACAAAACACCGCAAAAACCCCTTAGACGGAGCTTGTCCTTCAATCAAAACTCTAAAAGCTCAACAGCAGCAACTGATAAAACAAACTCCAGGAGGATCACTTCAGGAACAATGAGTTCGCAAAAACCATTGCTCAGGCGGAGCTTGTCCTTCAACAAAAACCCCAACAGCTCATCAACGGAGATTGGCAAAACCAACTCTCGAAAAAGCGTTTCAAGAGAAACGATGATCGTTAAATCTCGCCTTGGTGGTCGTACGGTCGCTTCTCAGGCGAGTGGTTCGCCGAAAGTGGTAAAAAAACTCGCCCATAAACCCACGTCGGCTTTAAAGGTCCCCGCAAACCCTCCGAAGCGCCCCGCCAACGAAAAAGACCGCCCAACTACCTCAAAACGCGCGTATCTCAGGTACCTATAGGACGCTTATACTCTTTGAAGAAAAAAAAAAAAAAAAAAAATTAAAACTTCAATAGGTCACAATATATTCTCCCGAGCAGTGCCACTAAGCTGAACGAAACCTTCACGCTGCCCAATGAACCCAAAGAAAACCGATTGGCGAGTAATTGGGCGAGAACACCGTCATCCACAGTGCGGGCCACGAGGGGTCTTGCAGCTAAAAACCCACCGAAGCGCAGTGGTCAGGAGCACAGGTACGGCACCCTCGTTGCTACGCAATACGTATTTTCTCTTTGGAAACTACGCCGAGAGAAAAATATAATAAAAATTTGCCATTCCCCCGTCCAAGGACTTTTTACCTTGGCCAACCATATTTTTACCATTATTCTGGACAATATGATTTCTATTGTACAAAGAGTAAAAATTACTGCACCTACAACAACAATTACTGTTCTAAACACGAAAAATTATTTTTTTACATGTAGTTAAAAGTCTCTCTAGACTACCAGATTACCATTCTAGCAGAGTAATTTTTATTATATTATTCTCTCCGTGTATGAAAGCCGTTATCAACTCCTTGTGATAAAATAAAAGAACGGGTTTTAAGGAAACGATTTATTAACCAATTCAGTTGATTGCGTATTGGCAGAAATGCTCGCCGCAAGATACTGACGTTCGTTTATTTTTAGCGAAAGGAAAAACAATAACCAAAAAAAGTCACGTCGGCAACGACGCTTTTGTCAATTAATTCGAACGAAAAAGAAGAGACGCGTCTGTGCACAAACCGTACACTCCGTGGCTCCCCTCATCTTTTAAACTCCCTGAGTTGCCGAGGAGAGCAAAAGCACCCCCAAACCAACCCTTATTCGATCAGTCGTTATGCGGTCTTCTCACGGGCTTTCTATGTATCCTGTGTGGTCATACACCTTTTCTTAATTGAAAATTCAACGTTAATAAATTAACGAATGCAAAAAAACGAGCGTTTACAATAAGAAATACTTAATAATTATACAAAAGCCTTGTTGGGTTTATTGATCAGTGACAGTTTCAAGCTGCCGAAGGAACAGCCGGCAGCCAAGAGGGTGAAACGATCGTTGGGGAGTGTACGAGAGGCGATTCACGTGTACGAGGACTTGTGCGACAAGGCTGGCGCCGCGAGACCGTCGACCGAGACGAAGCCGCGCGATAAGGAACCGGCGAAGCAAGGCCGCTCGGTTTTTAGTATTCTGGAAAACCTGGAAAAGTCGATAAATAGGGTCGGACTGTTGAGCAAGGTGAGTTTGTTTTTGTCGAAAAGTCGGGTGGCGTTTTTGGAATTGATTGAACGTTTTTTCTTTTTCTTCTTTTTTTTTTTTTTNCTACGTTAACAAAAGATTCGAAATTTATAATATCCTGAACACATTAAGCATAAAAAACTAACATTAATTTAACTAACATTTAAAAAAAAAAATAATTTTTTTAGATCATTCAAAATTCCATGACCTTTGTTAATTTAATTTTTATCCAAGTTTTATGATTCAGATTTGCATTTTTGGCCACTCTGTCGAGATTTCAGTGGGTATATGATTAAAAAATGAAACAAAAAAAAAATCAGTTTTTTAGGTGCAGTTTTGAAAATTGTCGTTTTATACTTATGCTTGCACTTAAGAATACAAATATTAAATTTTATCAAAAAATCTAAATTTTTTACATTCTTAATTTATTAGACAATCGTAAGTATGGAAAAAAAAGTTTTAAAAAATTAATTTGTCAGCAAGGACTATAAAACAAGCAACATTTAACACTTACAAAGTGAAATAGTTAAATAAGTAAGAAAAAAAAAAAAGTATGTACAACGTTTCGTTACATGACATCACATACTTTTTACACAGGTAAAAAATGTACACCTAATAGTTTATATAAAAGTCTTTCATCACTCTTTTGTTTATTTTTTTTTTTGTTTCCCAAGGCAACAACTTGATCAGAACAAGGAGCATGAATCTTTTTATCTCAGGTAATTTGCTACACGTATACAATTATTTACATTCTCGTATCTTCCAAAAAAACAGCTCCTGGTTCTTCTCCTCTTTTATTTGTTTTTTTTTGGTAGCCAGTAGTCTCAGTAACGAGTTGATCTCGGACATAGAAATAAGTTTCCATGACTTACCTTTGTCTGACAATGACATGAGCATTGACACAGACAATGAGGGGACGAACGGTTCGTTGCCCCAAATCTCACTGGTACCAACAGCAACGAAGAAAAATGGAAGCAATGCCGTGGAGAGTCTTCCAAATGATTGTTTGACAAACAAACACCGACGCAAAGGAAACAAATCAGATGACCCCCTCAATAATCGTAATTTGACGAAAAACACGGCAAATAAAACAACGTCACTCAATGTCCCTTCGCGATTGAAGACCCGAAATGAAGGCATGGCCAAACCAAAGAAATTACCCGTAAAACCGACCGTTACATCATCGAACTCGTTCAAGCTTCCTGTGAGTACACAAAAAAAAACATCTTAGTAAATGACTGACGATCAGTTATAATGATTAATAAAGTTCAGATTTAGTGATGAAATTCAATTCCTTTCAATATTAGTTATTATCAGTCAATGGGTTTATATATATTCGTTCTGAATATCATCTCAGAAAATCATAAAGAAGATAAAAAATCTTATGACTTTTATGAATTTTAACGAATTGAGACTCACAGCTTGTAATATTCACTATTTTTTATTAATTACTACACAATTTTGGAAAAACTTGATATCATTTTTATGAATTATAACTGATTGTTCATAAAAATTGTTTATTAACATTATTTAATTAATAAATTAAATCATATTTTTCAACTCAAATTTTACAAAGAAAAAAAATTATAACCAATAATAAGAATAAATAAATTCCAGATTTGGGACTGAGAATAAAATTTAATACCTGTTGTTATAAGGTTATTTATTTTTTTGTTCCAAATAGCATCCCAAAAAGTGATAAATATACATACATGAAATAAACTGGTTGTAAGTTTTGTGAATTAAAACTAATTGGAAATTATTGCTTATAATTTTTGTTATTAATTGATATGTTATTTTAGAGTAACTGACAATACATGTTAATAATTATGAGTAACTACTCATGTAAAAATTATTATTTGCCGTCATTTAGTTTTAATATGAAATTAAACTTATATTGATAAATTAATATTTCACGAATATAAAAAAATAACAACTGACATCTATTGTAAATATGTACTAATAGCGTATAATGTATGTAAACGATAAATATGTTCTAGTATAAAATCTGGAATTTATTGGACCTTGTTGTTATAGTTATCGTTCGTTACCTTTTTTAAACGAGATACTTTGGCTCGGGTAAAAACGGACATTTTTCACGTTTTATTTTGAAAGCATTGAGACATAAGCTTCATTGGTTGCAGGACAAAACACCGCAAAAACCCCTTAGACGGAGCTTGTCCTTCAATCAAAACTCTAAAAGCTCAACAGCAGCAACTGATAAAACAAACTCCAGGAGGATCACTTCAGGAACAATGAGTTCGCAAAAACCATTGCTCAGGCGGAGCTTGTCCTTCAACAAAAACCCCAACAGCTCATCAACGGAGATTGGCAAAACCAACTCTCGAAAAAGCGTTTCAAGAGAAACGATGATCGTTAAATCTCGCCTTGGTGGTCGTACGGTCGCTTCTCAGGCGAGTGGTTCGCCGAAAGTGGTAAAAAAACTCGCCCATAAACCCACGTCGGCTTTAAAGGTCCCCGCAAACCCTCCGAAGCGCCCCGCCAACGAAAAAGACCGCCCAACTACCTCAAAACGCGCGTATCTCAGGTACCTATAGGACGCTTATACTCTTTGAAGAAAAAAAAAAAAAAAAAAAAAAAAAAAAAAAAAAAAAAAAAAAAAAAAAAAAAAAA